CAGTTCCTAGTTATTCGAGAAATAACAAACACCCAGAACAGTTGCTTTTCGATAAACCTTGTTCCGAAAATACTCCCTGAGGTCAGAATCATTGAGGAATCTGCCCTTGCCAGCCGGCGAGAATTATGACAAACATCTTTCCGACAGCTGCGAATTTTACGGTTTAAATGGGTCCCTAGAAGATAACCGCTTTATAGTCTGCTGCGTAAGTTTATTTAAAAAGAACAATAATAATCCATGATACCGTGAATAATGATTTTTTTTCCGAAAACTCAATAATACAATAATTACTGATTGAATTATAACAATTGACAATATATGAGTTGAACCCTTTTTCTGTAACTGTGTTCCATTTAAAGGCTTTATCGTAACGGTAAGTGTATATATTTTCTTGTAAACAGTATTTAACATGTTCAATATGTGTCATATTACTAACTTCTTAACTAATTTACTAGCTAACTTATGGTATAAAATTGGAAGAAGATACTAAGCTTTATGCCGCCGAACTGTAGTCAATGCTGGAATCAGCATATTGAAAAGCGGATTTAGAATAGTCCGTGGTACAGACCCCTTTTTATCGAATTATTAACATCCGCCTGAAACTTCGTAAATAGTTTCATCTCATCGTAACCTACAACTATTTTATTTACGAAAACTCTTGGAATTGGGGCGTTTTCAATCTAGAGAGGGACAAACTTTGTCTATTTACTTAGGTAGTTAAAACTCGTAAATACCCATTTGCTTTCTCCCTTTTTTATCGATTTTATAATAAAATTATCCTGCGATAATAACAAGTAGAAAGCAAATGGGTATTTACGAGTTTTAGTACCTAATTAAATAGACAAAGTTTGTCCCCCTCCAGATTGAAAACGCCTCAATTCCAAAAGTTTTCGTAAATAAAATAGTTGTAGGTTACAAAGAGATGATACTATTTACGAAGTTTCAGGAGGATGTTAATAATTCGATAAAAAGGGGTCTGTATCATGGACTTGGAGTGGTTTCAATGAGTCCGTAAATTTTATGTGTCTTTTTCGAATGTAGTGTTCAATCGTGGGGAGTTTAAATATTTAGTGCAGTTTTTTTTTGTTATTTTATTTTATTTTTCTAACGAAATTTACCGTCATTTTTCTTAATATGCTGTTTTGGTACGCTTGGATGTGTTTTAGTGTGCTGTCAGTGAGATGTGTGAAAAGTGGTGCGCCGCACATCAAAATAGGTGGTAAAAAATACTTTTGTATATTACCAATTTAAGCGTTGGGAAAGTTTAAAGATGTTGGAGTCGACATGGTTTCAGTCTTACGGATTTTGCTTTATAAATAAATGTGGGCCGATAGTTTCCTATGTCAAGTTAATGTTAAGTTCGAAGACGAAGAAGAAGATGTAAACATTTTGTGGAATATTTCTTTTCCAAAATCTTAAGGAGCTCCTTTAGTATGATAACTATTAGTTACATCAATTTCAAGAAACAATCTGTACATGAAAAACATTAAGAATACTTAGTAAAAAATTATGAAGCTAAATCAAAGATATTTATGTATATACCAATATCCATTCAATAGCTGATTAGAAGGACTTTATTTCTTTATTTAATATCTCAAATGGTCCAATCTGTTAAATTTATAACCACTCGAGAATCAAAGAAACATTGGGTAGTGGATAATGAAAAATTAAATACAAAAACATGACCTAGGATTTATTATTCCTACAAAATAATTGAAGAAAATATTTCTAACGCCAAAAACAGCTAACTGTTACACAGCAGTTGATTCGGCATTACTGTTAAATTATAAGTGCATTTTAATTTATAAAAGAATATATAAATCTGTGAAATATTTTTATTTTTAAAAAACGTGTGTTTAAAAACAAGTCTCAACAAAGCTACTGCTTGCGTTATTCGGTACATTATCTCAAAATTCCTTCATATAGAGAATATGATTATTTTGTTGCATATAGATATTTATAAATAATAAAATATAATAATAACCAAAATGTGCAAATATGATAATTAATATGAAAAAAAACCATATTGAAGAATATATACTTACAAATTTCATATTTTTATTTTAATGAGCTGGGATATATCATAAATCAATAAGTTATTAAGTAATATAGGAAAACATTAAATATTATATTTAGTAATACCTACATTATTTTAATTTATCGACAAATCAATATATCAAAATCTGCACAAATTGATTTTTTTTTTCAAAAGGTAGATATGTTCAAATAAAGAGTTATCCATATCATCGGGTAGTAGTATATGTCTCATAAATACCCAGCAACAATGATATAAAAAAAAATCCTTTAACGGTTACACCAGAAGGAAATGTAATGAGCATCTTTTAATACAGCATACGCAACTGAAGAAAGAGATGCAAAGGGAGATCTGAGAAGTTAAAAATAATTCACAATCTTCTGGAAGAGCTTTAGTTTATCTTTTTGCCGAGTGCATTCTAGGTCTATCATATTGTTCTGAGTGAGCAATTGTATCATTGTTGCCAGTAGCGTGCTGTGACGTATAGTGTTAGACGGTATTGGTTTCAAGATACAATTGTATTTCCGGAGTGGGGAAGGTAGCCAAACCTTTTTTTTTAATAACAGTAATTACAGGACCAACGATTGTTTTATGAATGAAAGTTTAATATTTTCACTTGACAAGAACTCTCATATGGTAGCTGGAATACATGAAAATAGCTGGAAACTCATCAACAATTTTTTTTCTTTTTCTAACCTCCCAAAAAGTTTATTTAATTAAATTACCTATATAAGTATAACAATACCAATATATACAAAGTCCTTCCACTGCCCGAGAGCATTACCCATCAACATACATTTGCTTTCCACCTGAATAGTAAGATAATTTGATCACAAAATCGAGAACCAAGGAGGCTTATAAAAATATTGGGGCGTTTAGCATGATCTTCATCCCCAACATGTCAAAATAACGATGTTACATAGTCCAAACGCCATAATATTTTTGTAGGCCACCTTTTTTTTCGTTTTTGCGATCAAATTATCTTACGATTTAAGTGGAAAGCAAATAGGTATTTATAAGTATTTAGTGATTCATTAATTTAATAACAAAATTCTGAGAAATTTCGTAGATAAAAATTTGTAGATTGCGATAAGATGAAGTTTTAGGCGGATGTTAATAATTTGATAAAAATGGTTAATAATAAGGAAAATAATACTAACTATTTTAATAAATGAGACATAATATACCATTAATTACAAAATTAAAAGGTGCTTCCATTAATGTAAGCCAAGTAAATTTTTGTCATTAAAAAGCATGTTAGATTTCGTTTTTAGGGTCATTAAAACTCTTACGAATTCGTATATAAATTAAAAATATATCTCTTTTAGTACTTTTTTAATACATGATTTTCTTGAATGATTTTTTTCCTGCCATAAATTAAACCATACACAAACCCTCTGGATTTTCTACAATTCAACTTTAGTATAACTGTTAGAAAACTGAATTACTGCACTTCCAACCGACATCAATAGCTTTTGGATTTAATTTCTTTTAAAGCTAGAAATAAAGAAAACTTCCTTTAATCCATTTTTATTGTTATCTTCAGTTTTAATTTCTTTGCGAAGGTTGGATTTATACCATTTCGTGTAGCATACAGAGTCCTAAATCTCTAATAATTTTCGGGGAGTTCGGTTGAGCCATTCTAAAGTTATCACAATTTTGGAGTTGTTGACAAAATATTAAAGGAAAAAATTTGGTGCAGAAAATTGTAATTATTCGATTACAATAAAAAAATATTTTAAAGTTTTTCTTTTGTTAATAGAGGTGTTAAAAATATTTATATATAATAAAATAACTGTACTAGCACAACTATTGTACAGTATTCTATACCCGTTTTACATTTTTTTTTCTATTAACGGTTATACAGGGATGTCATGGGGTATGGATACCGTTACTCTATTACCTCCACCACTGTATTTATGTATCTGTATCTGGCAACAAAAGCTGTCAATGTTTAAACTATTAAAATTTGATTATGATATAAGTTTAAATCAAGACATGTATTAATTGCTAAAAAGGCCATTTTCGTAATACAACAATACGATATCGATGTTCATGAGAAAAAAATTACTCTTTTGACAACAAGTACATTCTATCCGGATTGAATCGTGCAGTTCATAATGGTACAGACCCCTTTTTAACAAATTATTAACATCCGCCTGAAAATTTATTAATAGCTTCATCTCAACATAACCTACAAATATCTTATTTACATATATTCTCGGAATTGGGGCGTTTTCAGTCTGATATCGTCAATCCTTGTTTAATTAATTAGGTACTAAAAAGGCGTAAGTACCCATTTTTTTTCCACTTGAATCGTAAGATTATTTCAGCAGAAATTGGAGAAAAAAGGTGGCCTTAAAAAAATATTGAGCCATTTGGCGTGACCTACATCCCCAAAATGTCAAAATAACGAGGTCGTATACGCCAAACAGCCAGCGGCCCAATATAATTCCAAGAGTTTTTATAAATAAAAGAGTTGTAGGTTGCGATGAGAGATGAAGCTATTAACGAAATTTGATAAAAAGGGGTCTGTACCACCGACTATCATTCATATTTTAATTTTCTTGACGTTTCCCCATCTTTTTCCTTGCAACAGATATATCGAATGGTGTAGTTCAAAAATTAAAATTATCCTATTGAAAGAAGTTAGTAGACTGTTCTACATATCATGGGTGATAAATAATCAGGACGCAGTCTTTTTTTTTTTTTTAATTGTTTAATTTAAGTTTGTTTTATTTATGCCAACGTTTCAACCCAAACATAAGGGTCATCTTCAGCGCATGGTTTGAGCACTGAGGGTGTTCAAGTACTGAGTACTTGAACACTACTTGACACCCTAAGTTGAAACGCTGGCATAAATAAAAAATTAAAAATTAAAAAAAAAAAAGCCTGCGTCCCGATTATTTATCACCCATAAAATAATCCTAGTTCATTCAGAGGAAGATTAAAAACGTAAGCTTACCTCGAACAGTTCCCCAAAGGTTACGATGATCGTTCCATCATCTTCATTCTCTCCGTCTTCATCATCCGAACCTTCATCATCTTTCCTCCGCTTCTTAAGTTCCTTATTGTATGTTCCGAGATCGTAGATCGTCTCACACAGTTCTAAAATCTCTCTGTTGATGTGCGATTTGGCCCTCAAACCCCTCTCTTCTGTTTTCGAACCAGCAAGAGGTCTGGAAAAAAAATATAACAAATTATTTAAACCAAGAATTAAACATTATGATTAATATTATTGTTATATGATAGGTTGTAAAATATTATCTGTAATCTAAAGAATAGGAAATTTATAGTAAACTTCCATTCAAACCTTGAATTTAAAAAGTAAGTGCACGCACCATCTGATAACATACGTTTCTATCTTTCTAATTTTTAAACATTAATATATAACGTACAAATATTAAATCATAATTAAATTATTTAACAATTAATGTAAATATTTTCATATTTGTTTCAGTAAAACATATTCTTCGTTTTTAGCTGTTTTTTTTTTTTTAGTTATAGTTTAAATTCGCTTTTAATACCGAATAGTTAAAGTGATTTTTGTGATATAATTTCAGGAGTTTACTTTTAAAAATTTCATGAACTTTCGGAACATTTCGTAAACATAAACGTCTTTACGAAAATTGATTAAAAGAGGAAAGACCAGATTTATGCAAGTTCGCTAAATCTAATGATTAGCTGATGATACAAGCATTGAAAGTTAAGAGATTGTTTTTTTCTGTTTCAGAAATAAACTGACTATGTTTACACATTAGTAGAATTGGGATATGAACATTTTTTAAAAGTTTACTGATAAAATATCGATAACGGAATCTTTGAAATGATATGTACTTTATGAAAAGCTATTCTAGGTGGTATTATTTTAATACAGCAGTATAAAAAAAAAGAATTAAATTTCAGGTAACATAGGCACCTGACGCATTATCAACATAGAATTATTAAGTTTTAAAATGAACTTTATTTTATTAATTTGAAATATTGACAAATAATATAAGTTAGTAACAAACTAAACAAGAGACAGAACATAAATGTTAGGTTATAATTTGGAAAAATTCTAAACAGAAAAAAACAACAATTGAAACGAAAAAAAAACAGCTTATACAGCATGCGTTAGGATGTCATGTTCCCATAAGCTGGGTTTTTTTCTGTGTTGATGATACCTGAATTGCCGAAACGTTGATAAGTTGTTTTTCTTGCCTTGCATTTTGGAAACATAAGGCTGTGTGGTTTGGAATTTTACCAAGTCATAACCTAACAAATGCTGATAATTTTATTTATTTTTTTCAAATTTGTATTTTTTTTTGTTTGTAATACGGTTTATTAATACTTACCATGATTGATCAACGGACTAATATGACTTCTATTTTGTAGAATCGGAAAAGGGATAACAATAATTTTCTTTTAAATTATATAATCAAATGTTTCTAAAACTTTAATCGAAGGTTAATATTAAAAAAACAAACAATGTATGTTTTTTACAGAATCGAACGAAAGCTATGTCAATATTGGTTCTAATCGATTCATTATATAATTATAATTTATAATCTATTATTTTATGCGAATTTTCTCCACAACTAAAAACATTTGGCGGTACAACTGATTTTAATTTGAGTTTATATAATGCAAAAGCAATTGTTCAATAAATATTTCACATAATAATATGTGATTGAAACAAGTTATTAACGTTGGAATTATATAGTTGTCCTAAGCGGTCGTTATTTTGAATATGAAAACTAAATTTATCAAAATTCTGTAAGGTTTTATTCGTAATAATATTTTAAATAAAATATTTCATTTGTTTCATAATTGTTTCCAATACTTATGTTCGAATAATGTATTGTCTCTTAAAAATTTAGAACGATTTCTGTATTTTTGTAGAAATATTTCAATATTTTAGCTGATATTAAGCTCAAGTTCATAACGTGGGAATATATTCGTGAGAAGTGTTTGTACGAATTTTTACAATAGGAGTATTTCTTTAATAAGTGTGGGGATAGTTTTTGAAATTAGAATAGTTTTTTTGGAAAACTCAATAAATTATTATTTTATTTTAACAAATGTATTGAAATTTTAAAAAACTACCATTTTAAATATCCTTTCATTGTTTCCGTTATTAAATTTTCAAATTTAATATTACAAATCTTTGTATGGTATTCCTGTTTTTAAACACTAACCAATGATGTTTTATTTAATTCTGTTTAGTAGTTTTGGAAAACAATCTAGTGGTATGATATGATTTCAAGTGGTTTATTATAAATTTAAAAATATATAAAATAAAACCTTATGTCATCTCTTTGTTTTATTTTTTATAACCAGGAACATAAATGTTATTCATAATAATAAGAATTTGAAGTGTAAGGTTCGTTTTAACAACAACAAACATTTAACTTGTACTTTGTGAATTGATATTTTTTCTGAGGTATCAATTCATAAAGTACAAGTTAAATGTTGCTACTTATGAAAATAGTAAATTAAGCATAAATATAAAAAATGAAAAAATCAAAGATCAGCTTAGAATCAGATAAGGATTATGTAATTTACTACCTATAATATAAAGTTAAGCAAAATTTAATCAGATAACGAATATTTAATAATTAATAAAAAGTAATATTTCTATTTTAATCTTTAAAATAAACCTTAATTTATAGCTTTATATATATTGCTTATTGGGTAAAACCATTCATGTCTATTTATAATGAATGATTAACTATAATGAGTAAATTGTTCCAATTAAATTTATTTAAATCCTATGCTTAAATATTTGTAATAATTAGATTTCTTTTTCAAAAAATGTATTAATTTAATTGACAATGGATTCTTATTGAACAGAGGAAACAGCGTCATAACATTAAACAAATTTAGAATTTTTTTCGTATAATGGAATACTAATACTGATTTATGAAGAGAATAGTTGGGGTGGTCAGTCAAAAAGGAAATTTCCTTTTTGACTGATCACCCCAACTATTCTTCTCTTCATTATCCACGACAGTCAACCAATTACCAATTATAATACTGATTTATATTAATAATGACCTAATAGCATGAAATAAATTGCAATATTAATTATTAACTGTTGTTGTTTACTATTATTTAGTTAGTTGAGGTACTGAAATGTTCAACTCCAAAAGGATTCAAAAAATCTCATTAAAAAAAACCATTCATAATTTTATTGAATATTTAATAGTTGACCGTTGCATTATAAAGGAAGGAGATGGTCCGGGGTTGCGGTCATAAATAGGCTAAATAGTGGTAAAACTATTTTATTGAAAGCCTATAAAGGAAGGAGATGGTCCAGGGTTGCAATCATAAATAGGCTAAATAGTGGTAAAACTATTTTATTGAAAGCCTATAAAGGAAGGAGATGGTCCGGGGTTGCGGTCATAAATAGGCTAAATAGTGGTAAAACTATTTTATTGAAAGCCTTATAAAGGAAGGAGATGGTCCGGGGTTGCGGTCATAAATAGGCTAAATAGTGGTAAAACTATTATATTGAAAGCCACAATAAAATTTTAAAATAAAATTAAAAGCTTTCAATAAAATAGTTTTACCACTATTTAGCCTATTTATGACCGCAACCCCGGACCACCTCCTTCATTTATAATTTTAGTTCAACAGGACCATCTATTGTTAAAAAAAGAACATTTTGAGTTCAAAACATTTTTTTTTTTTTAATGTGCAAGGACTCCTTAGGAACACCTGTTGTTTTGAGAACGAATTCTATGACGCAAGTTTGTTGGCAGGGTTCTAAAAGAAATTATGTTGGTGTCAGATATAAACATCATGGGATTGTTTCAATGAGACCTTTTTTATGAATGTATTATGCCTATTTATATATATAAATAATATTTTGAAGTATGCATATATTTTTTATATAACTACAACGCTGTTACAATCTTCAGAGTGTTTGTTATCTATTAATGACACGTGATTGATATTGTGATTTATAATTATTATTTTACAATACAGTGCAATAGAATGCATTCTAATTCATTTATACGGCTACTTTTGTTATCTCTTTATATTTTCTATTCTAATGTTTCATTTTCTATATATTTATTTGTCCTATTATAATGAGAATAAAATTATGTTAAAACAATCTTACATATGTATGTTTAAATATATATAAGATTGTTTTAACATAATTTTATTCTCAGTATAATGTTTGATATGCATATATATATATATACATATCTGCATATCAAACGTATGAATGTTTAGTTTACACCTTTAATCATGCTATTGCTATGTACCAATGTGAGAATTAGCAGTTAAACGTAAAATTACGTTTCTTAATATAAATGACCAGACTTTTTTTTAAATATATTTTTTATTTATTATTATAATTTCAAGACCGATAGTATTAATATTAATTTCATGTTTTAACATATTCTTTTAAATTCAGGCATGGTCTTATCTTCCAAAAGGATGATCATATAAGGAATAAAAACTGAGCTAAATATGTGGGATGTGTCAGGGGAAGAACTGTTTCAATCCATTTGGTCCGTTTATTATAAAGACGCTGTGGGAGTTGTAATCATTTATGACATCACAAAATTTAAATCATTTGGCAATATATTAAAATAGTATAGTGATGTATCAATTCAAATCAATGCCTCTTTTGTTTTTATTATAGTAGGAAATAAAAGGTATGACAATAAATTGTAATAGTTATTAGTATTTTTATTTTAAACGAAAGTGTTTTGTTTGGTCAAATTTTTAGTTTTATTTATGTTTAGGAGCTTGAGTTGAGTAAAAGAAAGTGTCACTATTTTGGAAGCTGTGTTTGGCAGAATATTAGAAAGCATTCGAAGACAAATGGATTTAGTGCAACAAAGGAAGAAACAATACATATAAAAAAAGGTTAGCTTGCCAATCCATACTTGACCTCAATGTTTAATTTTAGTATAAATAGTGCAAAATAATAATGGTTTGTCAAAGTGTTTTGATCTTATTGTCAGTAACCCATACCTTGAGATAAAGCAATTAAAAGTTTCAATTTAATATATTAATACTATATATTTCTTTTTACTTTCACTTACGTATATATATGTAATATATAGTAAGGGTAAGTATTGCGGTCGTGAAAATTTTCGAATCTGAGTTTTCTACGGAAATACACATTTTGGGGCACCCTGAGTCCAAATAACAAGTCACAAAAAATGGTCTGTGTGTT